GGCACCTCTCGTTGGTCGGAAATGGCACTCACAGACTTAAAATGTGAATGTAATTTCTTTTTATCTTTATCTTTCTTTTTATTTATTTATTTTTTGACAAAGGTGGGGTGAGACGGCTGCTCCCACCCTTTTTATTCCGTCGTATAATTATGATATATGTCCTACAGTCAAAGTCAGAGAGATTATGATGTTATACATCAACAAAACCCTTTTGACTCTGAGCGAGGACACTAGGTATGGGTCCCTATGGGTAGGGGCCCTGCGCACCACCACAGAGAGCATAGGCGTTACGCAACTGATGACAACACTGTTGGTGTATGGTTGAATTAGTCTATTACCTCGTAAAACTAACATTCCGACAGTTAAAAAAACACGTCACAAATGTGTTAGGTCCTGAAAAGTTACCTCAATGTCATCAACTTAGCTGACAATCACATCATCACATCAGATTATTTTGTTAGCTTCATTAGTTTAGGACGAGGTGACTGAGTGGTTACAGCGATGGACTGTTAATTATATATCCTCTGCAGTGTGACTCGAATCCTATCGTCCTTTTGTGTGGGGGTGTGTGTGTTTGTATGTTTTTTGTGTGGGGGTGTGTGTGTTTGTATGTTTTTTTCCCCTTTTTTGAATATTGTTATGTTTGTTTGGGGATAAATTTTTTAGTACGAGGTGGCCGAGTGGTTAAGTCCATAGACTGATTGCTAATCCATTGTGCTCTGTATACGCGGGTTCGAAATACATTCTCGTCGTGAATTAACACATTTTTGTATGGATTAAATCGCTTGATGATGGCGCTGTCTAGAAAAAATTACCAAAAGGACTATAGTCTATCATCTTCACGTCATAATTAGAAACAAATGAATATATCAAAATGATATGTGTATGTTACGAGTGCAATTGTAAGAGATATGACGATTCAATTACACACAGATATTTCAATGCCTCAATCAATGTAATTTTCTAACTTGCTACCGTAAATCTTCAAATAAGTGCTGCTTTCCAAACAAATTTCATTCAAGATGTTCACGTGGTTTGTTGATATACTTTTTAACTGTTAAGTGCAATAAAGAGTTCTTTTTTTTTTCTGGTGTAACCACGTATTTCTTTAAGTCTTTAACATATATAGGCCTATAATTAAAAAAAAATCTGTATTAATCGTTCCCTAGGTTTTTGTGGAATTCGAACGCCCGTTCAGTGTCATAAAACAATCAGCTGCCCAATCATTATTGCATATTGTATACCATTATTTACCTTCAGTGCCTGACTTTAAAATATTAACATTTTTTATTTGTAAATAGATTACTTGCTCCAATGGTCCGCTGTTTTATAGACTACTACTATACAAATAAATTATTTTTTTCTTCTTTTAATTTAATTATACGTAAAATAAAATACTGTAATAGCAACTCCAAATTAAGGTTAGAGACCTACGACAGATAAGAGTAGACTAATCGGATGGATTAATGTTTTTCTCAAGGTGAACATTAAATGAATGAATTAATTAATTGATAAATGAATAATTTATTTATTAAATAAATAGATAAATAAATAAATAAATATATAAATAAATAAAGGGAGAACTTCGTTTTTTCATTCATTAATTATGTAAAATAGAATAATAGCAACTGCAAATTATTGTTTAAGACCTACGACAGATAAGTCAAATGGATTGAAGTTTTTCTCAAGAGGTGAACATTAAATAAGTAAATACTGTAAATGAATGAATGAATTATTGTTGTGTTGCAGTTGCCTGTATGGTGACACGTCATGCATGTATAATTATAAACACGTTATATCGTCATTGCATACGTTTAGAGTCCGTTCTGAGCCCAAAAAATCCTCAATGAAAATATAACGTGTTTATACCGTCTACCTAAAAACTGTGTTTTGCTATGCTGTGTGATTACAGACAAGGCCCACTCTGTGTCGAGGACGAACTAAGTGAAAGAAGAACTATAACTGAAATTATGCAAGACGTCAACATACGAAGCCATGGCCTCTCGGCTGAACCCTTTGTATTTAGCAACTACCCAAATTTTTGTAGGGTATACCATTCTATATATTTACTCCAATTGACTCACTGAATACGTGATTGGCTGATATTGAAAACCAGCCATGCGGATATTCTAGGCAGCTGAGAGCGCGAGGCGATAGGCCCAACTGTGACTTATCCTAGATACCAAAGTAGGCCAAACATTGAAAAAACTTTGCTATTTCAATGAACTGTAGCAATCCACTCAAAAACATTAAGGTTTATATAAAAGATTCTGACAAAGAAATGCTAAATAAAAATGAGAAATTGTACTACTATATACTTTTTATTTGTTTAATCTAGGGTATGCACTGCATACCTTGCTTGCCTTGACGGTCCGCGTGGTCTCTATTAATATTATATTACATAGCCAGGGCGGCTCAGGGTTGGAACGGCGGGTTTACGAAAGGGCCAAATGCGGCGCAATAGTGTGCTCCATATCGTGAATTGTAGGCTGTTAAGGTTTCACTGGCTTTCAGCAAACTGGATTTCGCCAAGTGGACTCGGAAAATCTGGCATTCAGCAAACTAGGTTTCAGCAATCTGGCCAGATCCAATAGATATCTCTAAAAGTAGACATGGTTGCTGCTTAAAGGATTTAATGCTCAGAAACAACATTGGACAAATGCCAGATCGTAAGTGGAAGTGGGAATATCATTGCAATGAAATTCTGGACGCTGGCTGGACAATAAATTAAACTACAATTCGTGTAATATTAAACTTATCGTTTAATATCTTCCTTTGTGACCTGAGTTTTGTGAGGAGAAAAATTATCATTGTTTAAACGTTGTTTATATAGGTTTTTTTATAGACTTTTAATTATGATTGTTGTGAATTCTTCAATATGATTGTTATTCTTTACATACTTGGCACATTGTAACTGTAAGTCAAACAAATAAAGACGAACAAATAAAGTTCGAAATATTGAATCACAATGCCATCACATTTTTGGAGTTTGTTTCTTCCTCTCTTATGTCTAACTTATAGATGAACGAACCCCATAGTTCCTGAGACAATAATCTAGTAAATAAGCCCTTCAAATCCCTAAATTGAATCCCTAAACAGAGCTTCATCATCTAGACCCTTCCATCGTTAGAGAACATCGCCATTAGCACACCGCCTCTTCCCGGAAAATCAGGGTACCAACCAACACTGTACAAAAAACACTCATCAAGACTGTATATGAAGACAATAGAACGATAATTCATAGAAATATTCCTGGTCTTTGGTCCACCGGCGCACTGACTAGTAGGCGTAAAATATTATATGACATTTTACAAAGTTAAACTCAGTCCAGACTACTATATTTTCTTTGACAAATAAAATATGTTGTATGTCTATAATAGCCATGATGTGTCCATTATACAGTATAGTCACGATGTGATGTGATCATGACAATATTTAAGCATGTCACATGTTTTTGTCAAACAAAATGTAATAGTCTGAACAGGGCTTCAGTGAAAGAAGAGGGAAACAACTAGAATTGAAAGTCAATATTTGATTTTCTTTTTTTTTAATCACCTAAAGGCCAACTCAGACAGCGTCGTACGACGCAGCACGACGCGATTTGTTGTCGCGTCGGGTGTGTGAGTTAAACGCAGACGCGTCGCAGAATGTTGAACATGTTTAATATTTCTCACGATGGCTTAAGACTGTCCCCGACGATAAATCGCGTCGGGCTGCGTCGTACGACGCTGTCTGAGTTGGCCCTAAGAATGAGTAATTGTCGTTGCATCAAACAGTTTTAAACAATTTAATTTTTAAAACTTAATACTCGTACCTTACACCACAATTAAAAAGAGCTTACTGTTGCTGGAAAAATACATAGATGTATCAAATTCGTACAGAGTTCATAAAGCACTACAACTTTCAACGTATTTTGTGTTGTTAATTTCTATTTACAGTAGAAAACATGCCTACTTAATTACGAATACAAATATCAAACTTTGTATAGAAACGTAGGTTTTTTTGTTGACCAGAAAAGGGTTACCTTCAACAACAATACGTTTCCTTCATATCATGTTTGTCCTGGTATTTTATGTAGGCCTATATTAAATATATAACGCCACATCCAAAACAAACTTTAAAATCAAATTTAATAATTGTTTTGCTTAGCATGTTAGGTAGGCTAAATAATTAGCTTTGAATTGTAAATTAGATTGCTAAAATATCTTTTTTACAAGTTTAAAAACGTATACATAAAAAAGTTCCTATATTATTTCACAATTTAATTAGTTGGTAATGCAGGATGACATGTAGGGGAATATAGATCCTTATCGATAATTGAAGACATGACCCACTTCTTTCACTCTAATACTGTATACAGCTTAAATTGCTCGCAGTGGTTGACAGTGAGCTGTTATTCGTATTCGCAATATCCCATGGAGTGTTAGGGGTTTTTAATAAACATTTTAAAAAATCAAAATCTTATTTTATGTGAGAATTTTAATTTTATCTTTTTATTTCAATAGTTATCAATTATGATTCTGTGCAACATGTTTCTTATAATGCCTTGATTCATGAATACTTTTCATTTATTTGTTTATTTTGTATATTGCAACAATTTTTTTAAAATGTTATATAATGCGAGCAGTCAATTTCCATAATGAGCCGGGGAAATAAAATTATTACTATTATTATCTTATTTTAATTAGGAATGTACATTTGTTTCACAAAAAAAAATGTACTAGTTGTAGCTTAACAATTAAATTGTACTCCTATTGGATGATAAAATTAAGAATACCTTTATAAGGCACGAAGGCTATTTAAATAGTATTGAGAACTGCTTCTCAATCACTCAATTGCTGGAAAGACTAACATACTAC